TACATATTATGTGTGAGACCTGTGCTTGTCCTGCTATGACATCAAACTGTTTGCTGTGAGATAAATTTATGGTCCCCCCCATAAAGACTGGTGCATGGTAAAGGTCATCATGTGAGACAAAAGTTCATGACAGAAAAAAAGGCAATATAAAAAAGTTTGTCTTGCTGAAAAATAACCCAAAAACTTTAAGTGTGCAGTATCTTTGTGCATCGTGGCTTATAGTCAACAAGAAACTGGGAAATAATGGTACAGCACATGTAATTCCAGTGGGATTAATCTACAGTGAGATTATCTGTATTGAAATAAAGTCATAAAGAATTCTTCAGTTATTGACACCTATGAGTTGTTTATATTTGCTAGCTTTAGGATAATACAAGCAACAACACTGACCCCAGTGTGTGAGATGTAACCTGAAAGTTGGAATATAGTGTGTTAAAAACATTTGGCTCTTTAATCTACAGGCACATTTTAAGTTTTTAATCCTCATGCAAAATGTGTTTACAGTATTTTCACTCAAGACATTTTGACATGTCACAGTAGGAAAAAGCACAGGTATAAATAAAAAAAATGATTGGCTTAATTCCATTTAGTTGCTTCAGATTCAGTTTCAGGATCGTGGCATTGTGCATGCTACTGTGTCATGGCTTGCTGTCTGCTGTAATAAAAAAAAGGCCAATGCAATTAAAGTGTAATGCAGTCCATAAGTAGAAGTGACACAGTTTTCATTTTGGCTCTGTACTCTAGCACACTTGCCATGTGTTATAGTGCTAGCAAACACCAAAGTAAAAAAAAAAAAAAACAGAAACAAGCAGCATCACCATGGATAATCATTTTACCTATTAATATGTGCAAAAATTTGGAACCAAACATTAAATATGAATACTTTTTATTTAAGATGATTTATATCTGACCATAGCATTTTGGTCCCCCTTAATTTGGGGACATAATGCTCATAATCCAAGTCTGCTTGAATACTAAGGCTGTCCTGAATGTCATTTTTTGAGCTTCGAAGTTCGATAGTAAATAACGGCAAATAATCAAAGGATGATTGAGTCCTAATAATTATATAAATGTGTTCATTATGTTGTCGTTTGTTTGTTGTAGCCGACAGTTTAATGATTAACTTTAAAATGCAGGCAATTTGACTGTTTGAACTGTAATTAAATTTAGCAACTGTAAAGTTAATAAACGCCATAACTGCCACACTTTGATTATCATTACTCAGTTTAAAGTACTCCCACACAGCTGAGGGCTTCATTTTCATATGAACTGGAACATTTCGTTCACTGCTATAAGCGGAGGTCAGATGCACGAAAAAAAAACAACTCAATATTCGAATCTCTTAATTGAAAATCGAATGGGTACCCAATGTTCGAATATTCGGGTCCAGCCCCATTGAATACAGAACCAAAACAGGAGAAATGTGTTTCTGTCGTACTTCTCTGTGTTGTATGCAGTAGCCATTATACATGGAAACCTTTATTCTCTTCTGTCTGTCTCCCTCTTTGTCCATAGCTAACAGAGTTGAACACATTCTTCCTCAAGCACATTTTCGTCTTTCCTGCAAGTCATGCTCTTAGCTGGTGTCGGATCCTCTTTGTTGGCATCATCACAGCACCAACAGTGAGGTAAAACACAAAAGTCATTTTTATTAGTAGGGAAATGAAATGATCCCTAGACATGAATAATGCCAGATTTGTTTTGGATATTGTACATTGGTGTATGTTTATATATCTAGTTCCTTGTTTTGGAGATTTGACAGAATTGACGCTAAGGCAAGTAACTGAGTAGAGCTGCAGCAGAAGTTAATTAATATTTGCTTTATTTGTTTTAGGCAATATTATGCGTACCTTACAGACACACAGTGCAAGAGAGTTGGGACCCAGTGCTGGGTGTTTGGGTAAGTGAAACCTAAATTGTATCGCTGACTGAAGTTGATAATTTTTTGAACCGCAGTGTACCTGTGGTGAGCAATCACATAACCACAAGCAATGAGAGTAGATAAATGAGGTGACTTGTGGGATCTACAAGGGTAATAAATTTCACTAAACCAATGTTAACATGTTCATGTCAGTGAACATAGCACAGCTATCAGGTGAAAGGGCTTATGTGTTTTGAGCTGTTTATTGTCAGTTAAATTGAAAGTTTACTGCAGGTGGATCACGGTTCAAATGTATGTTTTTTCTTTTATTAACAGGGCAATAGCTTTTCTGGAGGCCTTGGCGTGTATTAAATTTGGACAGGACCTGTTCTCAAAAACACAGGTCCTCTATGTGATCCTCTGGCTACTGTGTTTGGTAAGATCACGATCACGTTATTATTGTACTTCTGTGTCAATATGAATTACTGTGGGCTTCTGCAGTTAGTAATTAGCACATCATGCTTTAAAATACATGAAGTCTTGTGCCTTAACTTTGACACCACCACCCCGTCATTTTTCACATATATCTTTTTGTTTCAGCATAAAAAACATTTAAACATCAAAAACTTTCTGTGCTGTAAGTGATTGATTATGGATTTCCCCTGAATCATTACATGATGTGTTTTTAGGCCTTCATTACATTCCTGTGCCTCTATGGAATGGTGTGGTTTGCTGAAAATTATGGTCCAAGAGAAAAGGTATGTTTATTTCTTTAAATATAGTGTTTTATGCCCTGTTATGTATGTTATATAGTTAATAAAAAATAAAACAAACTTAAATCTCTAAACCTGGCAGCTTGAATTTACTGGTTAATTTATGATCCGGTTGTTTAAAATTTTCCAGGAAAAAAAAAAATTCCAGACTTATTCCTTTTAAAGATTTCGCTGTAAAGGGTCAGTTAGCTGCTATATGCTCCCTGCCCAGTTAATGGTATGTGTGTAATGTCTGACCTCTTTTTCTTTCACAGAGCCTCTCAGAATGTGAAGATAGTAATTATGCAGACTCTCCTGACTACATGTCAGAAGGATTTAAAGGTACAAGGACTTTACTGTGATCAATAAACTACATATAAATGTCTTGTAAAAGTATACATTAATATTCATTTGTAATCGTGTAATGGGCTTACCCCTAGTGTTTGGGGTGTTGTTTTAGTTACTGTAAATGTGAAAAGCTTAATTGCTTCTTTTTATAAACTCAAGTGTTTGACCGTCATGTTTCAGGAGAGACAGAAGTGGACAGCGGCAGCCCTACAACCAGGTGTAGAGGGAAAGGCTTGGGAAAGACCAAATCCATTAACGGCCTGGACAGCCAGTAGGAGTTGGAGACAGAGGCTGGTGGGCGACTCCTGAACTCAGTCCATGGAGCCAGGTGTGAAGGATCACAGGTTGGAAAGGGGGTAAAGATACAACCACTTCCCGGTGTTATTGAGGTGTAGAAAGCCCCCACAAATGGTAGAGGAAGTGGTGAGAGGAGAGACTAAGTGCATGAACAGGTCCATACAGTGTTGTTAGGAGTGCACAGAGGCTTAGACTACAGAGATGCATACTTAAGTGTGTGTTGTAGTCATAAAAAAACTCTTAAACCACTGATCACAGGTTTCTGTATGTGTGAAGACAGAGATAGAGAGAAAGAATGGTATTTTGTGTTTGTGAGAGACAGAGATGGCAATAAAAACTGCTAATTCTAGATGTGACTGCATGATCAGTGTAGCTGATAAACTATAATTTACAAACTTATTTATCCTGTGATAAAGTATATCACTGATGGTTAATGTACATTTGACTGGTTTACACCAGCCTTAACGCCAGTATGTTGGTCCAACACATTTCAATGTTAAAAGCCATTATGTGCAATTTATCAAATTAATTGGAGCCTCTACGTTTATAGCACAGAAAGGCTTATTATTAGCGTTTGTCATTGATTGTCTATTTGCATCATAGATGTTCACACTTGTTTTGTGGCCTTGAATGTGGGCAGGATTTCAATGCAAGACAGATTTAGCTTGTTAGGATCATCGACTGAGGTTCGTGTTTGACCTGGAACCAAGCAGAGCACACAGTTTAAGCACTTTTCAGAATGTTTTCTTGCAAATGCTGTACAGTTTGTATTTTGTGAATCATTGTAACCTTGAGTGATTTCACTCTTCTCCATCTGTGGCTGCTATCTTTTTTTTCTTTTACTGTACTGATAATGAAGGGCAATTATTCAAATTCCTTTGTTTTATTGTCAAACTTCTTGTTATTGCATTTATTGAATTTGCATGGCTCTGTCAAATCAAGTGTTTTTGTGGGTAAAATGTTATAGGAGTAGTCAACATATGTTTATATAACACTGCACACCAGGACATCAGTAGTGTTATTTTAATGTATTTCACAGTCAATGTAAAATTTTAATTGACCCCTTGTGCCTGTTAGCATGTTTTTATTCACACTTTTTTCAGTTAGTACTAATACTAAATTTGGGCTTTTTGTGTTTGATTTTTCTGTACTTGAGTGCTATACTGGAGGCTTATTTTTAATTGCTCTGTCAGCATCACCTCAGTGCAGATATATCCCTCATAATCCTCGACAATCCAGACATTGCCCTCTGTGGAGTGGACCAGGCTCCTGTGCTACAGTAGACACTATAAATGGTACATTGTCTCTGGATTTAGATGTCATTTGCCAAAATTCTGTTGAGAATGACCTGTGCTGTTCTTTTTCACTGTGAAATAATGAAACATATTAAACTGTTTTACATTTCCTCTTAAACTGTTTGTGAGTTATTATTTGAGGTATTTGCTCTTTTTTGAAATACAGAAACAACAGCCTTTTAACAATAAATGGCTTCATTAAAGACATTATTTTTGTTTAGTTATGATATTCATTTAAGTAGGAGGCTTTTTGAGTAACAAGAGAAAGGAAATCATGAATGACCTTGCTTGACCCCCGAAGAGTGCCCTGCTGCAGCAAAGGAGTGCCGGATTGGCTGACTGAAGCACTGCCTGTGTGGTATCCAATTGCACTCAGTCTGCACACCATGAATCTCAGACTGAAATAGCTGTCTCATGTCGACCTATAACAAGATGTTTTTCAAGGTACGGCTGGGTGAACAGTAAAAACTGACGTATTGTCCTAAACATGAACAGTAGTAGCAGAGGTATATCTAGAAATTGTGTCTGCTGAAAGAAAAATCCTTGAGTTGTCAGCAGCTGTCACCCTGCAGTGAGTATTAAGGTAGACTGTAACAATTTGTTGCAGATCCTGCTTTTGAATCCAGCCAAATACCTTTTCTGTTTTAATACTACATATTAAATAATGAATTGCTTTATTTCTCTGCTATTCTGCTGTTTGTGTTCAAAACAAAGGGCTATAACAAACTTGCGTGGTGTATTTGTAAATTGATTGTAAGTTGATTTCCAAAGGAGGGCAGCAGAGAGCTTCACTGTTGTGCAAAATGTCACGTGACCCTTTCGGCCTAAAGCACAGGACATGAGTGTGTTGACAAAAATGTTGCAGTGCTCTGCTTTCATTGCCCTCCTTCATTCTCTCCATCTCACTTAAATTACAAGTCTTTCTTTTTTTGGTTTCCTGAACCTCCTGCAGCCTGCACCAGTTGGGCGAACAGTCTCAGTAGGCGTAAAGAACATCAGGATATTTCAATTATGGACAAGAATCCTGGTTCCCTGACTCCAGAGGGGATTCTGAGAGAGATTCAGATCAATTTATTGGAGTGTAAAGTCTGCTTCGAGAAGTTCAGCACTCAGCAGAGGCAGCACAGACCACAGAACCTTTCCTGTGGCCATGTACTCTGTCTGGAATGCATCACCGCTCTATCCCACCCTCTCCTGAGGAAGCTGGAGTGCCCGTTCTGTCGACAGCTGTGCAGCGTTGACAGCACATCCCACTGCCAGGTTCTTAGTGACCTGCAGGAGCTGCTGTTGTCTTGGAGTCCCACATCATCTACTCCTACTCACAGGGCAAAGGGAGGCCTTGGCTTGGCTGCAGGTCTGACATCCACAGCTTTGCACCTTGACAAAACCTTTGGCGGGTGGGGGACTCTCGTCAACCCCACTGGGATAGCCGTTTTGGGGTGTTCAGGGACAATAGTGGTGGTGCACGATGGAGAGAAGAGGGTTGTGGTGTTCAGTCCACAGGGCAAGAAGCTGCACAGTTTTGGGCGAAGAGGACTAGCCAGTGGAGAGATCTGTTACCCATTGGATGTGGCGGTGACTCTCTGTGGTTACGTGGTGGTGACTGATGCAGGGGATAAAGCTGTAAAGGTTTTTACATCCAGGGGGAACCATGTAGTGACGGTAAAAGAATCCTTCCAGATGCCCTGGGGTGTGGATACAGACAGCTGTGGCCACATCCTGGTCTCAGACGTCCAGGCCGGCACGCTGTCCCAGGTCAAAGTGGACTATACTCATGGTCTCATTCTGGAGCATCAAACAGCCTTTTCAGGCCTCCAGCATCCAAAAGCGGTGGCCTGCTGTCACGTGACTGGGAACACTGCAGTGATGGAGCATCTACCTGGTGACTCATATCCACCAGGGAGGCACCAACACACAAGACTGAGAGTGCTAACAAAAGACTTCCACCTACTTTGTCAGACAGACAGTTTTAGCCTGACCCTGCAGTCCACAGTGAGGCTGAACATGTCAGGCGTGGCCTTTGACAGAGATGGAGATGTGATTGTGATTGACTCCAATCAGGGAATGATTTGGAGTTTGGGGAAGCTCCAGAATGGCCCAGCCCTGACTCCTCTTGTCGGAGACCACCTTATCCGTCCAGTTGGACTGGTGTCACTGAACAACACGGTGGTCATTCTGGACAGTGGAAACCATACAGTGAAGATTTATTCTGCTAAATCTGTAGCTAGAACCATGATATAGCTCATGTTTGAACAGGCCTAGATGTGAAATGTAGATTATCATATTATTATGATGAATATTATGAGATTACTATTTATAAATATAAGTTAAATTTTGTTGTATGAGGCAATGTTTTTAGAGAGACCATCAGTCATACAATCTTATGTTTTTGTCCTGTTATTGTCCCAGCTTTTAAAAAAATAAAATAGTTTCACTTACTAATACATAGTAAAGTGTTTAATTTATTATTATTAATAATAAGGGCGATCTAATATTGACTATAAATAATAAAAAAAAAAAAGCAATTCACTTGGTGTGTGAGTGTGTCAGAGAGAGTGAGAATCTATGTTTTATGACTTTTTAAAATTACCTTTTATTTCTGCTGTTTATTCTTCCTTCCAAACTGTCTTAAAATAATGCTTATCTTGGGTTCTTGTCAATCAGCTTGTCACACGGCCTCACATTTCTCGTCCACTGGTCCCCCGCCCCCATAAGCGGTGCGTAAATCCTTTCCCCCTCTGTGGCACAGCCGTCTCCAGTCTGCCAGAGGAAAGCAGTCGTGCTCCCAGTGGAAGATGGCGGTGGGGATGCTGTCTGGGACTGGAGCAGAGTGCTGGATTTGTACAAAAAGAGAGCCCGGATGGATATAAGGGGGGAAATGAACATATTCCAATCTCTTCTCCTCGAGGTCTGGACTCTTTTGGGGTTGTTTAACTAAAGCCGCTGCCCTTTATTTTTGGCAGAAATCCGGGCTTCTTGTCGGGGTTCACAGACTATTACACGGATAGCTCGGCACATAGACAGGGTGGGAGTGAAAAGTGGACGAAAATGTCGGATACAAAGGTAAAAGTTGCAGTGAGAGTTCGGCCCATGAACCGCAGGGGTAAGTGTTATAACAATGGTTTCTATTTGCAAACTCGCATTTCTGTCATGCTACGTTATCATAAAGTTTTGATTTCTTCGCCATTGCTGATCTCAGCTTGAGTTAGGAGCATGAAGTCAGACTTGAGTACAGTTTGAAGACGGTCAAAGTAGCTAGAATTTTTTCAATTCAATTTTTTTTCACACCCCCGCATTCTGCTTTACTTTCCCAACAAATGTCTCTCTGCAGAAATTGAACTGAATACAAAATGTGTCGTGGATATGGAGGACAACCAAACAGTTCTACACCCACCACCATCAAATACAAAAGGAGAGAACAGGTAAACAAAGCTGAAATACTGCCAACTATATTTGCAAATGATAGGCATGCTATATTATAACGAGCCATACAATGCAGTTAGCTTGTTGTTGTGGCATATTTTGCCTTACTGTAGTTAGTCTGGGTGCAATAGAGCACAAAAGTCTTCGTAGTACACATATGGGGGCTCTGGGTGTTTTTGGAAATATCTGTAAGAGCAGAAAAGTGCAGACTGCACTCTCAGTGTAATAACTTTATACCACCCTGGTTGTAACACACTAACAATAACATTCAAGCTTAGCATATGACTATCTGTGCAATGAGCTCCTGCAACACTAGTCTGAACTGAAGTCAGATCATCAGACAGCACGCACATGATCCTGATCCACAGTAATGAGGATTTAACTTGCCTGACAAACGTTTATCTTGAATTCAAAACATTTCTTTACATAAATGACCGTAAATAAATGTAGTAGCCAATCAGGATAACTTCACTGCTGCTGCTGCTGCTGAGGACATGATGTCTGTCACCCACCTGCTTGCAACATGATATTATGTTATGCAATTCATGTGAACTTTGCAATGCAAATCACCACAGCATAATACTACATATACATATAATATAATACCCTTATATTATGCATAATGGGGGGGGGGGGGCAGATTTATGTCGATCCTCTGGGTATCGCCATAAATCTCCATTCAGAACTGATTTCACTTATATTGCATTTACAGTGGTGTGACATGACACTGTGTTACTGGCCTGGTCTTTTTATGGTTGAAAGTGAGAAAAGACTGGGACAAAAGGAAAACTGAGCATCCTCTAATGTTTCACACTCTGCATATTGAAGGTCAGCAAAAAAAATAAAAAGCTGCAGTTTGTGCTGGCTTGTGCTCGGACATGCTTTCAGAATAATGGACTCACATAGCATGTAGGCTAATGATGGCTGTACACTTGTGAAGTCTTTGAAATGTCATGACTGTTAAGATCGGTCCGTTTTCACAATTTTTGTGCTTGGTTCATTTGCTCTCCTCTGCTGTTGACGTCACACATGATTAAACAGCTGACCTGATTACCCACAAGCACAAATAAACCTAAAAGGATGCTCATTTTGCAAAACAAATCCAGGACTCTTTTCTTTTATTACTACCATTTGATTTATCCCTCAAAATAGGTTATTTAGGATGATTTTGAATGAACAACTCTCTGCAGTTAAAGTCCACTGTGTAAAAATGAAGGCTTCTGAGGTAAACATACCATAGTCACAGGCTTTCTCATGGCCCACATCCAGGCTTGTTAAAGTGTAACACTTTCTCTGCTGTTCCACGTAACCACCAGTAAGCATTAAATGGTAATGAGCAGCATTAGCAGTAGCTCAGGTCCACACATTAACCTGTATTTAAGGCAATTATGAGAACAGAAATTGCCACACAATGGTGACATTCCAGGCAATTAAACAAATCACGCTCAAAGAAACATATGTGGAACAGGATGCATGAGGAGAACAAAAAGCTGTCGTGGGTGAGAGGTCAGAGGAATGACAGTAAGTGTAGATACAGAGTGACTACTGCTGGAGTATTTTCTCAGTTAAGTGAGAAGGATTTGGATCTGATGCTACCTGTTGCCATGTTGTTGAGTGAGACACATTTCACATTGCCATTCAGGGGAAGTTTTTATATCTGATTTAGATGTTGTATCAGTAGCACAGAAATTCCTTTCTTGGACTTAGACATGATGGATTCACTTTCACTCTAGCTGGGTTTATCCAGGGTCTATTTTTATTCTGCCAAACCTATTTTCAAAATGAAAGCAATTTTATTTATTTGTGATTTCTAAGGTACTACATTCTGAGTGACCATGGCCTTGAACAGTTTTGATTCAGTTTGGTTTTATTATGTCACATTTCTTTTCTATAGTGTAGTCCAAGCATATAATTACTTGTTAACATTTCAGTGCTAGTGCTGTGTATGTGTGTGTTTTAGGTCTCTGTGTTTAGGCTGCCATGGTTTTCTCAAACCATATAATTTTCCTCTCGGCTGCTTGTGGTGCCGCAGAAAGGGATACCCTGATTGCTAAGACTTTGCCTTGTTTTGAGGACACCTGTTCCTGTGTGTTGGAAATGCGTCAGATTTAGTGGGTATTAGCATGCCAAATATGCCTGAAGGCCTAAGACCATGGGAACCTTTTCTCTCTCATGGGATGCTCAGACACAGCCTCAGACAAAAAATAACAGTAGATATTTTTATGTAGACACATCCGAAATAAAGTGAACTCTTGTTTATTGCTTAGGCTATAGATTTTGAAATATTGGATTTAACAATGGAAAGACATGATGTAACATTGTTTGGATTTCAGTGAAACTGTTTTTACCCCACTAGATTTCCTCAATATCTCAAAATACTAAATGTGACTTCAGTCTGATAAAATACAGAAATAAAGTCTCCTTCGGGTTGAACTTTGAGCTGACAATGTTCCAAATTGTGTCTGAATTTTAATCTGGTTTTGCAGAGACCACACAGCACCATGAAAACATGTAGACTTAAGTCACCTAAAGAATTTGAAGAAATATAAGGGATTTTCTTTGATGGCTAAGCTTCGTTCTTTGCACCACTGAGCATTATGGCAACACTCGTGACCCATACCCACCTCTCCTATTTCCCTGAGAAATGAAAAGTAATCTCAGTGGTGGGCATATGAAACATCGATTGTGACTTCAGGGCGACAGGTTACATTTCCTAAGTTTTTTCTTTCATCTGCCTGTTAAGTTGGCACAAAGGGCATATTTGAAATGGGAAACTGGGAAAGTAGTTTTGTTTTCACGCGCCAGTCGGCTCTCCTTTGGGGTTTAGACACAATGGAGGGGAGGGTGGAGAGGCAGAGAAATACCTGAGGCTGCTGTCTGCACAGGGGATGAGTATCATGACAAGAAAATACCCTTCGACTCACACATAATGGGTTCATATTACATCTGTCATGCCACAGCATGTCCAACAATTGAGTACAGGGTCATTCAGTCTTTTTGTAACCTTCTTTATGTAACCCCCCCCCCCCTCTTATATTTAAGTCTAAATACACAGAGAAAACCTAACCACAACAAACTTTTTTAGAAAAGCGGACTGAAGTCTGATTTATCCTATTTTTAAGGATCAAAATGTAACTTTCTTACACTCCATGCAGTAGCTTGGCAGTCCAGAATTTCAGCATGACCAGTGGAAGTATGTCTTTATCTGATAATGTTTGTGACCAAGCTTGTAATTCCCGCTTTAATCTTTTCCGTATCACTAATGGTTAGACGAGCTCAATTGTGTTTATCTCCACTTGACTGACTTATCGTGCTTATTTGGATAGTGTAATCTGAATTGTGTGGAGAGAAGCTACACTTAGAAAGACATCCACCAGAAGGGTGCTACATGTTCTGTGCTCCCTCATCTTTCAATTATGTTGGACACATATTTTTTCAGAGATAGCTGAATGGTTAGGTCCTCCAAAACTATTTTCTCACAACCTAAGAGGTAATAGAAGTTACTGAAAATGCTACTGTTGAAAAAAAATAGTAAATACGCTAACTCACTTTTTGTCAGACAATAAGATGAGAAGATCGATACCACTCTTATATCTGTAAAAATATGAAGCTACAGCCAGTAGCTTGTGACCTTAGCTTAGCATAAAGACTGAAAACAGGGGAAAACCGCTAGCCAGCCACAGTCTAAATGTAAAACGAGAGAGAGAGAGAGAAAGAGGGAGCGAGCGAGGAGGTGCTGCACGAATATGTGCTCCGCAATACAGCCCCTCATTTAAATATGATTTTAAATACACCTTGTAAAGAAATTTGAAAATCAATACGTGGCGGTCAGTTTTGATAATTATCCAAATTATAGGCTAATTATGAGAAACACTGACTCTCCCGACTTTTTAACTAATATCATATTTATAACAGTAGCAAGGAGTATGGTTTTTACAAAGCATATAGCCTAGGCCTATCGTTTAACACCAGCGGCTGAAATAAAAAATAAAGCA